ATATATATATATATATTTTAAGACATTTTTATGTTTATACATTCTTTTTATAGATACAAATATTTAAGTAAATGCTCTGTTTATAATAAACAGTATTAAACAACATTTACCGGCCTGAATGTCTGAAATTTTCACAGAAAATATTCGTCCCTGAGGACGAATATTTCTGTGAATATTTTCACATTCAGGCCAATAATGTTTTAATACTGTTTATTATAAACAGAGCATTTACTTAAATATTTGTATCTATAAAAGAATGTATAAAACATAAAATGTCTTAAAAAATGGATGTTGTTCATTTCATAATGTGTGACATACATATATATATATATATATATATACATACATCTAAGTGAACATTGAAGTCAACACTCAGAGGCGACAGGCTGTTTCATGCTAGACACAATTGTCAGGCCCTGTGATATATATATATATATATATATATATATATATATATATATATATATAGATAGATAGATAGATAGTACATACATACATACATACATACATACATACATACATACACACACACAAATATTTTTATGCATGCATGCTGTATATGTACAATATGTATTAACTCAGAGACTTACTAGAAAAAGAAAAAAAAACAAAAAACACTGTAAATAACTCATTCTCAAATTGCCTCTTTAAAAATCAATTTTTTCCCCATGAAGTGTGCACATCACTTTGGGAATTATGAGTTTAAACAATTTATGACTCCTCTATCAATCTATCTTCATCATATATATGAATGATGGAATAAAGAGCAAATGTTTATAAATCTAATGTTTTGCTTTTATTAAAGCTTCAAAGAAGAAAAAAAAAAGGAAATTCTGGTATTTTTATTTTTGTGTTGTTTGATTTTCATTGGTCAAGCAGAAATTATGCATATAATTTATGTCTTTCAGTGTAATCCTAGATTTCTATGCAGGATTCAGATGATAATGTATAGTCATGTCTAGTAGACATTATGTTTGGTGGTTGTCTGTATATTAATTTGGAAATGTTTTCACATAACACCAGTTGTGGTAGTAGTAGACAGACATATGTCAGATTCTTTAAAAATGGATTTAATAAAGATTGGTGATATAATGTTTTTAATGTGTGTTTATAGTTGTTAAAATATTTATCAAGATTCCTTCAATTTGATGTAAAGGATTACATTTTTTTAATTAGGGCAGCATTTGTAAAATCAAAGTTATGGCCAATTTGTTCCTGTGTATTACAAACAAGTTTAAAAGGTTGTCCCAACAGAGATCTCTCTTATGCTCATAGATGTGGGCTTTTAGATTTTGAGATGTCTCGCCAATATAAGTGTTTCTTTATTGCAAGCACTTATTTGATAAATCCTAGCATCTAAAGTGCTGCTGGATCTATTTTTCTTCCTACTCATATCTCTGGTTGTCTTGGAGGTTTTAGTAAAGACTCTAGTATTGGGGATAAGTAATTTATCTAAAAAATATAAAAATAAATTAGTTGTCACCAACACTCAAGTCTTTACCACAACCTCCAAGACAACTGGAGATATAATTATAAAAAAAAAAAAATATATATATATATATATATATATATATATATATATATATATATATATATATATATTTCTCATTTTTTTTGTTGTTTTTTTAACAGTGTGAATTACATCTACCAGGCTGTGCATTGGAGAGATTTAATAAAGAGAATGTGCTCTCTACCAGGTTTCAAACCTGCGTCTACCTCTGTAGGGAAACCACTATCTGACCCAGCATTCTTTAGACTGCTCACCCAAAGAAAGTACACTAGATCAGACAGTGGTTTACCATACAAAGAGGGATGCAAGTTCAAACCCTGCCAGAAGACATTCTCTTGAATTTGTGCGCAGGCCAGTAGGTGCAATTAACTGTTTAAAAAAAAAAAAATATGGCGTCTATTCAAACACTGTTATCTGCTAAAAATTATGTTTATAATAATAATATATACAACACAAAAAAAAAGTGAATTTGAAATTGATATAGAATGATAAAAATCGCAGTAAAATGAAAAGTAAAAATGTTTTGACTGTACAGAAATACGTATAGAGATATACAAACAATTTAACCCCCTGAAGATTGTCTCAGTTGAGACTGAAAGTACTTGGGGAAAAATATATATATGTATGTGTGTGTGTGTGTGTGTGTGTGTGTAAATAATGACAAGACAATAGGAAAACTTATCTTAGCTGATGCAATAATATTTACACACTTTCCTTTATTAGACATTAAATTACATCACTTAGCATCTTCCATAATTTACCTTGACTTTCAGTTAACCTGAAGTATATTCAAGAGTGGTCTTAATTTGAAAAATTCTGAACACTTACTTCTGTGTATAAATACTTGTTGCAAAATAAAATCCTTATATTTGCCTTGATAAAGTCCATCAAAGGATGAAATGCATCATAAGTTTTTCTTTTGTCTTTATTAATAATGTGTTTTTACAGATAAATTTTAGTTAATTTTTAATTTTAGAAAGTGGGATTGGTGTGTCAAGTTCAAAATCTGAGGCCACTCATGGAAAGGTATGAATCTATATCTTTTCCCACCAGTTAAGGGTTAATAGCAGGGTAGACTTAGCTCTCTAGCGTTGGTTAGTAACTAGCCTCAGAGAAGAACAACTCTGAATTCAAAACTGGATGAGCTTTGGGCTAGCAACTCTGCTCCCTTATATCTACTTGCTTCAGAAATGACAGCAATAATGTCTACCTTGATGAAGCTGTGATCCTAGACTCTACAGAGACATTTACAGGACCTACATCCATCCAAATTACATATCATTCTCAATTCAAATCTACTGTAGCTTTTGGTTCAGACATTCTCGTGGCAGATACAAGAATTGAGGTTCTACTTATTTTAAGCTATTATTTGAAACTCTGCCTTAAAACTTCCGACATTACCCACTGAAGTCAGGAAATAAAACAATGTCTGACCATACTTCCTAAAACTAGTTTAAGCATTTTAAGTGTGATGACTTGTCCTTTGAAATACTGCCCAGAAATGTAAGACCAGCGGTTTTCAATTACAAGGTTTTAAAATGTAATCTCAAGAAGAACGTGAAAACTTTCAAAAGAACTGATCATTGAATTATATATGTAAAAAATTGCGTAAATATAATATCATCAATAAAGACTTATAAAAACGAAAATACTTTTGATATGCTTGAAGAGATTCAATAAAAGCCCACAAGATATTAATATGAACTCTGCCATTAATTAGTTAGATAGAATATTTTTTAAAAAAAAAAAAAAAATATTTAAAATTCTAAATTTTATATTTTTGATTAAAATAAAACAAAAAAAAAAAAAAAAAAAAAAAAAAATGTTGACATCTTGATATTTTTTTTAAAGAAAAAAATAACACACAAATTGAAATACTTTTGACATAAAAAAGGGGTTTTGGCTAAACCAAAAATGTTTAGTTAATTATGGTGGAGTAATGGATAGCGGCTTGGATTGAGGAGTCGGAGAGCTGAGTTTGAATTCCAGTCAAAATCCATTACATTCACTTACATGCAAATAACCTCAAGAAAGGTATGAATCCTCTTCTTCTCCCCCCAGCTATAGGTAAATAGCAGGAGAGACCAGGTTCTATAGCCTTGAATGGCAACTGGTCTATCATATAAAAAAATGGCAACCTACTGCAGGAAAAAATCTGTCTCATCAGTCATGTATTGAAAGATACATGATCGCCTAAGTGATTCAAAAATTTAAATATAATTTTTAAAAACATGAGAGACTGCAAAGAGACATAGGAAGAGTTTTGAAGAAGTTTGAATTTCCCAGATGCCATAGCTTGGGACTGGAGATTGGGGATCTGGGGACAGCAATGAAAGACCAAACAGTGTGGAAAGGGACTGTCAATGGAGTTCCAACTAACCATAGGAAGGTTGAAGAATGATGATGAATAAAGGTAAATAGCATAAAAAGAAAACAAACTAATGAAATCTTAATGCATGACACATAAAGCATGGCACATAAATGACTAGCAGAGGAAATTATTTGAAAAATAATAAAAATTTAATTTTCATTATGAAGTGTTATTATTTACAAGCAGATTAATATCCTCATCTTTGTTGTTATTACATTATTATTACTAGTGATAGCCATAAAGATTAGAACAATAGTCCACTTGTAAATATTGTAAATAATAAAAATTTAGTTGATCATTGTAAGCAAAATTTCAAAATCTATTTTAAATAGTTTGATTACATTTGATCTAGTGTTTGAAATTATGAAGACATTTTATATATGATAAAATATCTATTTTATTTTGTATGAGAAAAGTCAACTTTCAAGGGATTAGCATATTTCTTTGGATGGTTTGAGAAGACAGTGTTAACACCATGGACTTAAGTGATCATAAAGACAATAGTTGTTGCTTAAAAAAAAAAAAAAAAAAAAAAAGAAATAATAATAATAATAATATTCAATCATATATGGGACAGCCTTTCATGAGAAGCAAATTAATATTTTTTTAGTTCAGCAAAAAACAATCCCATATACAGGTTTGCCATTTATGAAAGGACGCTTTTTAGGGGGGGGGGGGCTACTTTACATAGTAGTTATTTCACTGATACAAGCAAATAAAATTGCAAAAATATTACATGTGCATGCTTGTGACTCATCATTTTTTGGCTTTTGACAGAAGATTACTTGCATTATGTATAAATATGGTTAATAAAAAAATGTAAAGGCAATATTAAAAAGAGAAGGCGGTATCAAAAAAGAAAAGGCAATGTAAAAAAAGAAAGAGAAGGTAATATAAAAAAATAGAAAGCAATATAAAAAAGGCGATATTAAAAAGAGAAGACTATATAAAAAAAAAAAGAGAAGACTATATAAAAAAGTGAATATAAAAAAGAAAGAAAAGCCAATATAAAAAAAGAAAGAAAAACAAATATAAAAAAAAGAAATGGCAAAAAATAAAAACAAAAAGGCAATATATAAAAAAAACAAAGAAAAAGAAATAATCCAATATTGAACTTACGTCAGGATAATAATCTCTGGTTGGAATGAGGTGTTGAATCAGAGCTTCAAGCGTTCCACAAACAAGGTTACCGTCACGGAAAATTAAAGCCTAAAATAAAATGGGGAAAAATCATTACCATTCTAATAAGAAATAAAAGAAATTCTTCTATTTGAAGGAAAGACCTTTTAGAATTCTCAAATATTATCAAGAATTAGTTTTCCATGAAACCTTTGATATCAGGAGTAAGATTAATGAAAGAAATTTTCATTAGTTTTAATAATGACATGCACAAACACATATTTATATATTTTTAGGTGTGTGCAAAAGTTTCCAGCAACTATCTCTTCCTGTAGAACCACATTTCTGTTACTTCAAGTTTCCTCTCCATCATTGAGGAGATTGTCCAGCACTCACTGACATACAGGAGGATTGATATAATGTAACAGTTTACTTCTCTTTTCCTTGTTTCTAACAAAATTTTTGTATTTCTTCGTACTCTGCTTAGCTTTTGAAATGCATCTTTGGTTATCCCAATATGCCTTTGGATTTCAGTGTCACACTTCTCTTACTCGGTTAAAACACTTCCCAGATATTTAAATTTTTGCACTTGTTTGATTCTGGTATATCCGATTTGCAATTCATATTTTGGGTTCATTCTTTTGCTAACAACCATGGATTCTGTCCCCTTGCAGTTGAGGCTTAATCCTTTCTTCTCACATTCATTCACTACCTTACACACACACACACACACACAGACACGCACACATGCACAAATGATGCATCGTTGGGAATTACTCAATATCAGATTTGTGCAAACATTGCCAACATTTTTTTCAAATCTCTAGATTTCAAAAACAGGGAAGCTATGAAATTTTGCAAACCAAATAAAAATCAAACTAAGTAGAAAATGTGAAACTAAATAAAAAATTCTGATTGAAATCTATGAAAATAAACTTGAAATTCTTGTTTTTCTTTTGAAGGCTAAACTTTTTAGCAACACACTGACACATGTTGAAATTCTCACACTATCTAGTATCGTTGAAGTCATCACTAGCATTTTTTGTCAAGATTTACAGTCTATGTTTCATTTAATTTCACAGACCAATCAATGAAATTTGAATAAGCTGATTTGTTTGGAAAAATACTTTCACAAAAACCCTACTTATGGTTTAACAATTTCTTTAATTTTATAGGACTTCTAGGTAAACAATATTCTTTAAGAAACATCTTTTTTTTTCCTTTTTAATAATGAAGAATAAATTTTTAGGATTTCTTACTCTTGAGCATGCAACATGCAACTGGCCATGCATAAATATTACTTTCTGGAACCAAACTTTTGAAGCGTTTGACCTTATGATTTGTTTATAGTTCTCACAAATGCAGGGCAAATTGGAAACTGGATTCTTGTATATAAAAAAAGATCTGTAAAAACAATATTGCATTTTTATTAAATAAGTATTTGTTATTTTATTCATTAAATTGTTTCTAAAATAGTGGGAGTATTTTGTATGTTAAATAATAAAACTTTTAATTTAAAAAAGAAAAAATGAATGATAATTTATTGTACTAAACTATGCACCCTAGTAAAACCAACTGTGCTTTGTATCCACTTAGCTGTTTACACTTCTCCCCAAAATTTGGTTTCAATTGGTGAATGTATATCTATTTTAGAGGGTGTGATGGACAGACTAACAGAACTCACAGAATTTTATATATAGATAGATCAATAGTGTCATAAGCAACTATAAAATTATTAAGGGCTTTAAAATACTTGTATGAATGATAAAATTTAATTTCAACAGTACTTGTCTTATATAAGAATATAAAAATTAAAACTTTTATTATAAACGCTTATGTGGCAATGGGAAAAAGTAATAATAAATACTAAAAAATTTATAGATAATAATTTATAATAAGTATTTAGATAATAAATTTCTTCTGCGTGCCATAACCCTTCAGGATGTTGGCAATTATGACTCTCCACAATTTCCTGTCCTTTGTAACTCTTAGTAAATTCTGTCTATTGCTAATGTCAATCACTACATGATGTCCTCCTGATTACTCTTCCTTTGTGTTCGATCCTTAGCCACATTTGTTTTTAACGTTACCACCCCCAGTAACTCCTTGCGTCTCTGTAGCTTTACTGCTTTGCTTGGGGCGAACTTGATTAAAAAAAAAAAATGAAAAAAATATCTCTCCTAATCCCTGTTCTGCTAGCCATTTACACAAGCTCATTAGGTAGATTATGCACTGTTTTACTCTGTCCCACTTGCCTTCAATATGTCCCATGAGTATCAAATTTTCCAAGCCCTCTTCCCTCATTATGTGCCCTAGATATTTCAGTTTTCTCTTTCTTATATTAAGTATCGGCACAGCATAAGTTGTTAAGACTGTAGGACTTCTCTCAGAATCGTCTCACCGTATAGATTAAGTAAGTCAAGTGAGATTGTTTTATTCCTCTTTCTATTTTTGTATATTTACTGAATTCATTTTCTATCCATAAGCAGGTGGTTTACTTCCTGTATAGGTCCTGGGTTATTCTAATACTGTTCCCAAAGGTATCAGTTACACACACACACATATATATATATATATATATATATATATATATATATATATGTGTATCTCATTTCCAATAGATCTTTGTGACGTACTTTATCAAACACTTTTGCATAATCTGTATTGGCAATATTGAGATTTTAAAATAAATGTTTAAAATATTCTAGAATAGAATATTTAGTGAGGAAACTGAACCCTAATCTTTGGCTTTGTATATCTTTCCTGTAAAGTATGTAAAAAAAAAAAAAAAAAAAAAATGCGCCCACTTTCTTAAAGCTCTCCCACACAGCAATTTCTTTTTTCTTTTATATGCAATATGAAAACTTTGGGTATAAATGAATACATGTACACTGGTTTTTTTCCTTTACATAAAAAGGAGAAAGAAGTATACAGATCCTGATGAAATGTTACAAACTACAGGAGTAGATTGGTTTGCCTAGCATCCAGTTCACCCTCCTCCCTGGTCTTTTGAACAGGAGTAGAGTTTCATCCCTTGTTTCCTTTTTAAGATTGGATTTCTAGTTCCTTCTAAAGTCTACTTCCACATTATACTTCTAACATCCCTCACTGAACTCTGAAATTTTATTCAATAATTATTTATTTTTTTCTTCTCAATAGATGTAGATAGTCTTACACTCCTCTTGTCCTTTCATATACTAATACAACACCACACAGTAAATCATAATCCCTTAACTTGAGTGGCTCTTGGGCCAAGTATTTGGTGAACATTAGTAAAAAAAAAAATAAAATAAAAAAAATAAAAAAATGAAAAAAAACATTAAATTTATATTCACATATAAATTTATAAAAATTGCCTGAGGATACTGTAAAGTTGAAATCAAGGTAACAGAATCAACTGACCTCCTAATTTTTAAAGTGTCAAGTTTCAATCCTGGCATGAAGCAATCGGATGTCTAGCCACACTGATGAGCTGTAATACAGCAAAACAGTCTATCTGTGGATGACTATTTATGCTCTCGTTCACCAATTGAGCACTATGAAGAAAAGGGAAATTTAACTGCTACTGCTTTAATGCATCACTCTTTGTAAGAATAGAGGGCTATGGCGGCCAGTATGGCATTTATATATCATGTATATAAAGGGTTAAAAATTCACTTTTTCTGCCGTGTATCAATAATCTAGGGGTAAGAGTCTCTGACTGATGTTAAATCAGTTGAGATACAGCAAAAGAATCTGTGGATGATATATATATATATATATATATATATATATATATATATATATATAATGTTTATATGTATTCAGGTGTTTGGTCATTGAAATACTGATTTCTGTAAAGCGGGTTGGGCAGACACTTTTCTAGTACCTCATCATGTGGAGGGGGAGTATAAAACTATTTCCCAGATGCACAGATACTGCACTCTGGTCATGCATTTACTTACCTCCCCACGGTGGTAGAATCTGATACAAGGTTGTTGTTTTTAAATGTGGGATGCTTATATGAGTATATATAAGTGCCAAGGAGAAAAATTCCCCAGTCCCCAAGGACCATGTTATGTGGTCCACCATCTTTCTCTCAAAGCTTTTCCATAAACCACCCATAGATAGAAACATGGCAAAGGTGAAGAATACACTGACTCTAGCCTGAAAGGTTGGGTCTGTGCACTCTGATCCTACGGAGAAGTCTGAGGATGTAACATTTTGATCCCAAGCAGAAGAGGGAGATATTGGAATCCAAAGCAGAAGTTGCACCATTTTTTATGGGTACTGTGCTAATAGAAAGAAAACAAGTAAAAGTGTAACCTAGTTTATGCATAGATACACACATACAAAGGGAGGGGTGAAGAGACGCAAATGGTTGTATATAAACAGTTTTTCTAATGATAATCTTAGAAACGGCAGACATGTCAAGCACATCTTTTTAAAACTTGCAGCTCAATGAAAAGATAAGGAATTATTAAAAATAGACCAACAAGTGAGATAAAAAAAACAGCTTTTCTACTTATATACTATCATTAAGAAAATATGTTCAGCTCATAACACTGAATGTAATTTGTCTGAAAACTGGCTTCACTGAAACAGTTAAATTGAATTTTCATTTCTAGCTTAACTGAAAGATCCAACTGTAGAAAATGAAAGGGAGACAACAAATATATCTAAATGGTGCTTTTTCTTAAATTATCTATTGTTTAAAAGTTACATCCATTAATTTCATTTTTTCTTATTTACATTAATGGATGACTGACAAATCAGTTGGTATTTTAAGAGGGTTATTTAATATTGAAATCAGTTTGAGCTAGAGGAGGAGCAAGTAAAAAAAAATATAAATAAAAAGAATGATTAAAATATTAAAATAAATTAAAAGAGTAATATAAGTTAATACAGATTTTTTTTTTAAATACTTAATTTATTTATTCATGTATTTTGGATAGGACAAATATTTAAATGGTTCTGGGGTTTTTTTTGTCATTTTTTTTTTTTTTTTTTTTTTACTTATTTTTTTAAATATTCCTAGAATAAAACCAAAATATTAAGTAACATTATTAAGTAAATGAAGACTTCAGTAACAAATTTATAGAGAAAAAACT